ACATAAGCTTTAGAAAAACTTTGCTCGCTTGGCTTCGCCTCGCTTGCATTCTTTTGAAAACATTCTTACTTAAAACATTTGGACAATCGAACTCTTAGCTTGCTTGCTTACAAATACTATTCTAATCGCCTAATGTTCATCATGATCTCACTCAATGCTTTACAGCTCATACATATCACATAAGCATGCTTTATAAACAATAGACTCACTTAAACAATTACACTTAATTCTTTGACAAAACTTAACACGTGCTGCATTTTTAAAACGAGCACATCTTTCAACATACAAGTCGCATTAACATAATTCAAGTCTCATAATGCTCCTACGACATGGTACTACAACTTCCATTTAGCACTTAAAAGCAAATAAGGTCATATTCATTGTCCAAAACCAGCAAACATTCAAAGCTGAAATGCTGTCCAGAAATTTAAAATAAATTCATGTGCAGTTTTACGAAAACAGGTATCATTCACTACTCGGACCATATTTTTGCTTGATTCTAGAACCACATGAAAGATAACACATAGAAGTACAATTTCAATTAAGACTTCAGGTTCATTTGAGTACATTATCACATCATAAACACACAAAACATTTAACCTAACTGCAGTCGAATTAAAGAAAACTTGCTCGCGCAGTCAATTTTGTAAAAATCATAACTTATTCGTTTTAAGTCGAAATTGCACGATTTTAAAGCTCACGTAAACACAACTTCACGAACTACATATCATATGAAGAACTCGAAAACCGAAAACACAATCTCAGGAGCCTAAACTGCTTCCAAACAGACAGCACGAAAATGACAATTACACATGAAATCATAACCTAATTATCCGAACTTCTTAACAGGTCGAAAGCATTATATAATTGATGATTCTAGTCACGTTTATCACACAATAAGACACGATTATGAACACATAAATTGACAACAATAAACCCTATTCACATATCATTAAAACAATTCTTTCGAAAGCCCGGCAAGGCTCCGACCAATTCCAACTCAACAATAACTCAACAATTATTTACTCGGACCTTAAGCAAGCATACGAGATTCGATTATCAAGTTTTAACACATTAATAATTCTTACGATATTATCCGAATTCAAATTAACAGTCCATAAGAGGTCAAGACGTTAGGGTTTACCGCTCGGATAAAAGAACAATGATAGGGTTCGAAAGGGGGCTCGCGGCTAGACGATGGACTACGGTTGCTGATCGGGATAAGGAGCCTGCGCGCGACATGGAGGGGCTGCTTGGGAACGATGAAGGTGGCTTGCTGCGTGGTGGCTACGGCTTGCGTCGGGGCTCGCCGGCTACGGTTGACGCTCCGACGGAACTCTACGGGGCTTGACGGCTACGATGGGTACTCCGACGGAACTCCTCGGGTCCTGACAGCGTTGCTTCGTGGAGGGCTGCTCGCTGCTGCGCAAATCGCCGGAAAACGCAGAGAAAGGGCGGTGATTGTTGCTTACGGTGGTGGCTCGCGGAGAGGGAGGAGGACGACAGTGCTGGTCGTGGGTGGTGGTGGCTTGCTGTGGTGGCTGTGGAGCTCTTCGCTGGCGATGATGGAGGGTCTGTGGCGGGGCTGGAAGTTGAAGACGATGGTGGATGATGATGATAGATAATGAAGGATGTGATGATGATCGGGTTTAGAGAAAGAGTGCTGCTATTTTTTTCTTTTTTC